CACCTTATGCTGGATACCCGAACATATCACAATATCGTGGTATTTACGTGTGACGCAGGCTACAGATTGTCGTCCACGTATTACTTCGCAAGCTGTAGGAACGGTGTGTGGGATAAAGATACTCCGACATGTGAAAGTACTCTTATAGGTAGGAATGACACCGTCAATTGAGAGGATCAGAATCATACTGTCACCGTCTGTAAGATAAGAACCACATTGTCACCATGTAAAGATAATCACCAAAATGTCACTCTGTAACTGTAAAACCACGCCGTCCTTTTATAAAGATAAGAACCACAATTTCACACTGTCACAGTAAAACCACGCCGTTCTTTTTTTATTGATTTTTGTCCCCTTGAAATAGACGAATAATGCGTAATATCTTCTTTGTAGCGGTAGAGTGCCCGGTATATAGGGAGCTACTACTATACCCGCCGGATACGACATTCTACTACGGGGACACGACGTCATTCTCCTGTCCCATGGGATATGACATAAAGGGGGCGTCGATCTTTAAGTGCGGAGCCGACTCGTTGTGGGACAAGGAGTTACCGGAATGTATAGGTACGGTTCAGCAATAATGTGCGTGTAAGTTTAGTATTGGCGGCCCAGCGTTATGATAATCATTTAAAGAGCTGTCAATAACAAGTATCTGTTGCAATTTAGAAACTACACTTTCTATTCCTCACATATGTATTTATTTCAATTCAATAGACTCTTATGTCAATAAGAGAATTGATAACAAAATGAATGAGTCAATAAAGTTATAAAGTTATAAGCAATAACAACAATTAAAAATATAAACCGTAAATGGCTGTTCCTTACAACTTGATATAGAATGGCGCATACTATCTAAGTCATTAGTATCCAGGGTGACGTTGAATGCTTCTCACAGTAAACATTAGTATCCAGGGTGACGTTGCATGCTTCTCACAGTAAACATTAGTATCCAGGGTGACGTTGCATGCTTCTCACAGAAAATGCTGTATTGACGAACACTAAGACATGAGCGTACTCCTCTTACATTGTTCCTTCAGTCGTTCGTCCAATACTATTTCTTTCATGTTATTGAAAAGAAAATGTTGCAATATTTTCAAAATTAATAGACCACATCGATCGGATTCACCCTCGTGAATCGGAAATCAAAGACACCGAAGAAGCCTCTACATCTGGCGCCTGCCTGGACCTTTACCTGTAACATGACCTAAGACAGGGACTGACTACTACTGATATGTACGATGATACTGATATGTACAGTGATACTGATATGTACAGTGATACTGATATGTACACTGATACTGATATGTACGATGATGCTGATATGTACGATGATACTGATATGTACGATGATACTGATATGTACACTGATATGTACGATGATACTGATATGTACAATGATACTGATATGTACGATGTACGATGATTAGGACATGTTTGGTTTTCAGATTAACTTGTTATCCGTCTCTCTTCAGCATATTGCAGTTGATTCGATATTCAAGGGATGCCTCAAAATATTATGATTAGTGGCTGCTGTCTTCTGGCAGACAAATATATAACACAGGGTTTCCAGTTATGCAGATTAATTAAGAAAGTGAACAAGTTGTATGGTCGCCATTATGATTACATTTGGAAAAATTATAATTCCACCTGCACTAAAAATATGATTTTTAGGTTGTTTTTTAATGTACTTTTTTCTTCATCGTTTCTCTTATTCGAGGCGGCTTGACATTATTTGGAATTGATCTTGTTTACATGACTGTTATCGTCGATATAACTGTTGCTCACGTCTCTTGAATACCTGGCCGTCGTCCCGATTTTCTTGGTTCGTTTATTGTCTCTTTGAAATTTCAAATCCTTGAAATCAAAAATCAAAGTCAATAAGATAGTAATTTGATACTTTCAGCAAAAGAATGCAAGTTAAAGCCGAATGGGAGAACATACAGAGGACGGGTAAATGTGACGTTATCGGCGCGTGTGTGCCAGAGTTGGGCGTCCCAGACACCACACATGCACGCGTTCAACGAGCTAAGGGACCAAGCCAACTACTGTCGCAACCCAAATTACAACAGTGGCGGCCCCTGGTGTTACACTACAGACCCCAGTGTACAGTGGGAACATTGTGACGTGGTGCGGTGCAGTAAGTTTCTGTGGAAGACGTTAGCCGTTTTAGGGTATACACATCTTTACAAATGGTTTAAACAATGTTTGTATAATATATTTAAGAATTATAACTAATCATACTAAAACAGGGTTTTGCTAGAATATATCAAATTCAAATAATAATTTACATAAATCATAAAAAGGTGTACTAAATATAACATGACCAAAACGAGCTACATGTAGTAGGCCTGAACGACGAAGGTGACTGTAAAGTTAACTAAACTAATCATGATATTGTGGCGGTGCACGCTTACTACGTCCCCATACGTGATACGCTTACCTGGACAAATCATGCATGTCAGTTTTGCTCTAATTTTACAATAGCTCTTTACCTAATAACGATCTTTTGATGTTCTGAAAGTTATATATGCAAACCAAAAATAATGTGGATAGGCACCAAGACGAACAACCTGAGAGGCTTGGAATCTGCATCATGATCACCTTTAGAAAACCAAGATGGTCACCTTGTAATATCTGAATGACTTGGCTTCTATAAAGAATGGAAGGCTTCGTTATAAGTACGAGGACAAAATGTAATATTTGTATAGTCATGCTACAAAGAGTGCGTCCTCTACCTTAAGGCCCAAGTTCGGTAATGTTATTGAATGTTTAGGTTGCATTAGAGTAAATATAAACCTAATTTATTTTACAACAATTATGGAGCAAAGTTTTACAACTTATATAAATAATTCTTGTTGGCCCGGATATTAGCGAGCGGGGGATCTTGATGTGGGAGGAAACCAGAGTACCCGGAGAAAAAAACACGTGGTCGGGGAGGTGACCCCATACCTTGCATTAGAGCAATTTATCGGTATTTCAGCTCAACTTAAGTGTCCCTGTTTAATAATCCTTATTAAGGGAAACCTTATACGACTGTGTTAGGTGTTGGTTTGTGTTGTCCCATTGTAGTTGTAATTGTGGCGGCCTTGTAAGTGTTATAGTGCGTAGCCATTATTATGGTGTGTGGTGGTAGTATTAATGATATCAATGAATTTAAGGTTGACGTAATTGTTTTCTGCCATATACGTTGAGCATGTTACTTTACCTAATCCATTTGATCTTGTTATCACTTGTGTTTAGTGTGTGATCTGCCGCCTCGTTACGATAGCCATCTCACTGTGGTGAATAAGGATCACTACTACGATGAATACGCCTTCTTCTCGTGTGACACTGGATACGAACTACAGGGCCTGCCCAGTCTTCGGTGCCTGGCAGATGGTTCCTGGTCCGGAACCTTCCCTTATTGTCAAGGTCGGTATCGTTTAGCACATATGTATGGTATTCTTTGAAATTGCCTTTTTGTCAAAGAATTTGTACAGCGAACAACATTTTTTAATTAACATACGAAATGCATAGCCTATCATTATCTTCATCGTCATATTGAAACCTTAACATAAATAGCCTGTTAAAAACACTAACATATCATTATCATTTACTTTCAACCTGCGTAGCGTTTCAAAGGCCGTGTTCTTTCAAACTCATTTGTACAGTATATATAATAATACACTTGTAACCTTGTTCTTTCATTGAAACCACAAGGAACTCAGAAAACGTCATCATATTCCACTTTAAACTAAAGTATCATCTTACAATCAATGGTTAACAGTTTTTCGACAGGGGCATGCTTCTAATACAACTATACGTGTTTTAGCATTATGGTCAATACACGAATTTCAACGCAGCAGATAATTTACGCAACGTATTTCAGCATGCTTACCGGTACCGGAATATCAACATACGATCTGTTTCATTCCAGCTGTTGAATGTCCTATCGAATCAGAGATTGACAAGAATCTGCGGTACCAATCCCGTACATATTATTTCAATGACACGCTGGTTTTGTCATGCGTAAATGGATTCACGCTAGCAGGAAGTTCAAGTCTTACGTGTGGCAGTAACAGAGGATGGAGTAACCTATTTCCAACATGTACAGGTATGAGAGTTATCCCCCTTTGCTTCCCTAGCTATGCACACATACATATGCCAGTATATCTAACCGTATGCAATATATCGCTAAATCTGCAATTCAAGCGTCTTGGTGGCCGAAATGGAATTAAATTCGTTTCGGACCGATTCTAATTCAACCTTTACTTAAATCACGGGAGGTTACTTTTGTTTATCAAAAAGGGAACTAAAATTCCTTGCGTAAAAATCTCGCTCGTCATTTGGTTCTTGACTTCTTCGGATGAAACATCCTCGAGGAATACCCAAACATCTTCTTCATCCATGGTTCAACTGATACTATGCAAACGTAAAACCGCTTTTTGTAACGCGTTATTATGCGTTATTTTCGCGTTATTTCGTGTTTGTTTCGAGTTATAACGTGTTTGTTTCGCATTATTATATGTTTGTTTCGCGTTATTTCGCAAAAGTTTCGCATTATTACGAGTTAGTTTCGCGTTATTAAGCGTTAGTTTCGCGTTATTACGCGAAACAAAAAACTTTTTTTCTCCTACGAAAATGAGCTCAATAGTCTTTCGTAGAAATGTGCATTAAAATAATTTTGTAACTAAATTCATTTTGTTTGCATCAGATGATTCGATTTTGATTTCGAGTAAACTGTACCAGCATAATATCAGCTCTAAGGTACGTGGCAACTTAGGGAACTGATAATCCTCCACCTGATTCGAATACCTTGTGGCGTACATGTAATAGGAATACTGTCCTGGCTCACTTGCTTAGCTACATATGTAACACTTTTACTCTCGAACCACCAATTATCACTGACGTAATGATTTCCTTTTTAGCGGTACAGTGTGGAATCTCTGGTCAACACCCACAGCTAAGGTACGAGTACAAGGCCTATCAACACCCAGACGAGATCCACTTTTCGTGTCCGACGGGTTTCGATATGGTAGGTCAGGGAATACTTATTTGTACTGCCGACGGCTCGTGGAGTATGCCTCTCCCAAGTTGTAATCGTGAGTATTCAGATAATTTATATGATCACATAATTACCAGTATTTAAGTTATTATGCTCACGCCATATTTCGTAACATCGTGTAATATAACCTATTAATTGTCGCGCTATGAAATTATAATTAACTGACATCGCAGGTTTCTATATTGTATGTTGACGTCATCAAGCCTAAAGGGTTCAAAAGATCAATCACCGTAATGACAGACAGTCATACCCGTTTGATGTATTCTTTAAAAGTTCCTTTCCTGCCAAAACCTTTCGTGTATGTTTTCGCGACAGCGTATAGTTTTTACCCTCTATTCTTCTGCGTTGCTTCTAGTCTATAGTGTAGCAAAAACAGGTTTAAACAGTAGATTATATTTATTTTTGCATTCCACGGTGATCCGCAGACGACGAACCGGTATTCTATGAATAATCAAGACTTTCTTTCATTTTATGCCTCTGCCTCTTTCACTAACCTTCGTTTGAGTATTTAACCTTTATGCTTTACATCGTTTCGTACACTTCTTTTCGTATAAATCTTCCTTTTCTGAAAGGTTATTAAACTTCCCAATAAGTGATTCTTTACCACTAGTGTTCTCTTCAGTACAAAGACAGTCAACGTATCTCCCATTTTTTCGTGACTCGGCTTCATAGGATTCAAATGTATCGCCATGATAAAAACACCAGCATTGTTCTCCAATGTTCTCCGTTCGTTAATCAAGTCGAGCACTGATACCTTATCTGTATTTGTTGTCACAGACTTTTCATTTTCCTCTTGTAAAACTCTTTTGGTTCGGCTTTCACTTAAGTGGCTATTCTGTCCGTTAAAGCGGCTATGTGTTCTTTGAACCTATCCTGGGTCTGAATGGGTTTTTTGCACTTCAGATTTGAAACTGTTACAATACCCACCGACGGTCTATTTTCACGATTTTTTAATATAATTCTTTGCGTGTCATTTTTCGCATTCTAGTAGTCTTGATTCGTTCTACTTCTGACATTTGACCCACTTCTTCACTGTTTGATAGTATACCTAAGTTTGTCATTTTTGCTGGTATTCAGGGGCAACGATTTTCTATCTTCCTTGACCTGCAGACATGATCATTGTACTGGGTCGGCTTTGGGGAGAAACAATACCAGGGAAGTTGGAGTTAAGAACACTGAAGGCATGCCCGAAAATTCCCCAATTCATCGGAAAGCTTTAATTTTCATAAAATCGTCTCTACATAGTTGCATTGCCATTATGAAAAAGTTTCAACGAATTCTGCTGATTAATTGCAAAAGGGTGGAGCCTCCTTAACGCTCAGATTCTGTAGGAGTTCTAGTATGGGCTAAACATTTGATCAAAATATAAGCAAGAGTTGTCCCCCTTCCTCTGAAATATAGTTCTCACAACAGCTTTGTAAACATTGTATCATTACCTATCATTATTTAGTTACTTTTATTTAGTAACCCACTCTAATCCACCCACAAGGTAATAATTTATTCCCGCCCCTTCTCTTAACATGTAATCTCCAGCTTTCATAAAACATCGTAACACAGCAGTAATATCTCTCTCCTTCACTTCCCAGCCATCACATGCCCCTACCCAGGGACAAACAGTCACCTTATATACGCAGACAAGCCTTACGGGCCCGGGGACGTGATCTCAGTCACATGTCTATATGGCTACACTCTGGACGGACCCTCGACCCTGAGGTGTGGGGTGGACGGACTCTGGAATACCGACCTACCTATTTGTCAAGGTTCGTATTTTGATGTTTATATTGAATGACACATTCTTATGACAACAAATAAGGTTACCGACGTCATCATTCCTCTGTGCATGTTTAATTGGTCAGCACAACAACTTTGCAATAATATTCATATTTTTTTATGAAATCCTCTTATCACGTCTCCTTGCGAAAATGAAACCAACACTAGAACTGCAAAAATATACAAAATAATATAATTATTCTACGGTGAACAATTGTTTCACATTGTTGCGTTGCATGTGTGCATAGTGATGGGAGTTGGATGGGTTGGGGTTGGTCTAAATTGTAATTCAAACCCTTCCCTACTCTCCACCAGCGGTGACATGCCCCGCCCCAGAAACGGAGGAGGAACACTTGTTACTAGAGGTCAGACAGTACCGGTATACAGACGAGGTCCACCTTTCCTGTGATCTAGGGTTCCAGGTAGACGGTCACACAACAATGGTGTGTCAAGCCAATGGAACCTGGAACGGAGAACTTCCTACCTGTCGGCGTAAGTCAAAGATTATTTGATTTTATATATAAGACATCTCTTCATCCTTCATGGTATCTGAAAGTTAACTCCAGGTTAGAAAACTTCCGTGAGGTTAGACAGCTAATGTATAGAACAAACATCATACAACCGCATAACTTTAACTCTTTCAACCCTTATGCAACTTTAGAGACTCTACCATGCATTAAGCTGGATGAGTCCATTTTGGTCTACAGTGGTAAAAGGGTTAATAGCGACTAATTCTAATGCGATGATATGAAAACGTTAAACCAATCTGGTCAGGATTCAAACCAACCTATCACTGAATTTGTCATTTCAAAGTTGAGTCTAAGCCTGTAGTTTGAATATTGAATCTGGAAACATTCATAATGGTAAACGTGTTGTTTTCAATTAGAAACATTTTTTGTTGTTGTTGTTGTTGTTGTTGGATCTACATCAAACAGCCAATACACATACGTTCACCTGTAAACAGAGGCACACATCTCCCAATTATCATCATCATCATCATCATCATCATCATCATACTTTGACATCATCACCTCATCATCATCATCATCCTCATATCATCATCCCCATCATCCTCATATCATCATCATCATCATCCTCATATCATCATCCTCATATCATCATCCCCATCATCCTCATATCATCATCCCCATCATCACCATCATCTGTACACATTGACTGACAATACATTTCTTTTTTAAGGTTAGGAGTGGATGCAATGTCAGTCGGTCCCTAATGTGAGTTTGAAAGAAGCACACATTAATGTCTCTGCTTAAAACGGCCGTTTCCAATTTGAACAGTCAGTGTAACTAACATCATCATGTCGTTTAACAGGGGAGGGGAGACCAGCTGACCTGACTTCTTATCATACTTTTAAAGTAAAGTCTAGCGTCGGTAAGATGAAATACGGATACGGCAGGCAGTCCTATACAGTTATCGGAGGTGAACTATTTAACAATAGCGGCGAAAAACAACTTGTAACAGTTCTAGTAATTGCTGCGGAAAAGTTATCACTGACTCAATTTTTTCGCAGTATAGATTTATTGGTGTTATGTTTCTGTACCAATTCGGCATAAACGACCATATTATTTTCTAACGAATACATAACACTAAATACAATTACCTTATCTTAACATACATACACATAAATATAAACGTGTTGGTGTGGTGTAGGGGAGATAACTTGAGTTCTGAATGTTTTGAAGTTTCCGACCAGTAGGAAAAACCTATTTTGAATTGCCTGTCTTTTCCCTGCCAATTCAATGACAATACAAAACACATTAGTTGAGGTAACCTATCTGAATGGGAGAAAGGTGCAGTTCACTTGTTTACTGGTCACGTGATAGTTGGACGCACCTCTTTCGCATGCCAAACAGACGGAACATTCAACCAGGGAAGTAGGAACAATACCGGCAGACCACTTGTATCCCGTGATCGTTGAATACCAGAAATACAAATTTAAGCATTTCCCAATAGTAAAACGTATATCAGCACATGATATAACAAAAAAATACACGAAAGTAGACAAAATAGCACGATATACGTAAAAAAGTAAACAAAGTACAAAACTACTTAAGATACGAAATACGAAATATATATAGCACGAAACTGCTTGATGTAGGATATGTGGAGACTAAAAAAGTATAAAACTACATGTTATACGAAATACGGAATAAACAAATAAAGAACAGACGAATAAAATAAAATGAAACTTTTATACTGTTTTCTTCATCTGATTCACCGATATCCTTTCCATGAACGACAGGAGAAGCGGGAAAACCTAGAGTCACCCTAGCTCCAATCAGCACTTCGATCTACAGTAGTATTGAGCACATTTAACTAAAAAATACACCTGAAAACCTTCATAATGTAGCAAAAATGACGATTTTGATAACAATATGAAATGAATAGGATTTTACGTAATTCAGAAGCTGAATAAGGACAAAAAGAAAACTGATCACTCAAGTATGTGGACAGATCGATAAAACTGATCACTCAGGTATGTGGAAAGCAAAGATCTATAGACCACAGGGAAATCATAGGAACAACATAAGGCGAGGTGATCCGACAGGTCTGGTGGAGAATAACATACAGAAGGGAAAGAGTGACAGAGACTGCCTGTAAAGAAAATTAGGAGGTTAGGGGGTCACAGCAGGCGCAGTAATCAAACACGCTGACATAATGAAACGTTGGTAATCATATTCTTAACTATTGGGCTGGTTTTGGCTACGACATGAGGGCATGAACTTTGTGTGACAGATATTGAAGAATGAACCGTGCTATGTAACCATCATATTGTTTGCACTTATTTCAGATGGAGACTCGGCACTACCTAAGCGACAGGGAACAAAACGAGTCCGTTTTGGCTCCGTCGTTTTGAGATTGAGAGGAGCTCACTGTGCGATATTGGTTTAATCATCCCACATTTCTATTTTTGTGTGGGTTTATATATTTGTATTTGATGTCGTCTGTGTTCCTTTTATTCTCTTTCCGCTTATACTCTTAGTTTCGATGCTTATAGTAAATTTGAACTTGTACATTATAGAATTACAGAGTGCGGATATGATGCCCTCTACTCAAGTCGCAGGTCTCGTCTCCGGCTTTATCGTACTTTTCTTCGCAATCTGTATCGTCCTGCTGATTGCAATCAAAAGGTATTTTACTAATGCAAAAATCTCGGACGAGATTTCTTTTCGGTGTAATTTCAGCAACGGGTGTTTTTTTCGAGTTAGGAAGGTTTAGGAGTGAGGACGGCCATAATGTTTATATATATATATATAGTATACCGTAAAATGTTCGACGCATTCAATTCTCGTCTTTTTCGCCCTCTGAATTTAACATTCTAGTGAACATTAGTCAACAACATTGTAGACATAGTAATGTGAAAGGTAGTTTAAACACTGTTGGAATTTACAGGCGAATTGCGAAAGTTGTACTGGACGAAAATTCCACGGTTCACAGTATATATCACCAACTCCTGTTGTTGTCTTGTTTATCTACATCTAGTTCCAACTTCTGACGCTGACGAATTATTGTGTATGTTATTGTGTGATAACAGTTGTTTATTTAACAGAAAAAGGTATGTGTTAACACGATTACGTAAGCATATTCCCAAACTATTTCAGGAAGAAGAGGAAGAAAAAAGAGCATTACCCTACCGGGATGGAAACCTCCTATAAGAGGAACAACGCTGATACGCATTCCGACATTTCAGGTAGAATGCGTTGATATGACATTCAATTCCTGTATACGGTTTGTTCGGCACAAAAATGAAATAAATATTGCTGAAATAATGGGATTGTCGGGAAACTGTTTACAAGCGTCGCAATTATAGTACAAATAAGGATTGCCTCACCTATTGGTCAACTAGTGACACATGATCAGGTCACCACCACAGTGTTAACATTGGGACTGACCAGTCCAGACCGTCGACAAAAAGTCACGACTACACCCGCACATATAGAAAATTATATTATAAAACCTGAATCGAATCCGGCATAGATATATTCATGTTTACAAAGGGTCTTGAAGAGAAGTTGTCTTTTGTTAAAAAGACTCGCACAACTAAATCATTTACAATATTACTAAGCTTTTGAGCTAATTACTTTGATATTTGAAGTTTAGTGGCATGTAAGAGCGCTACAGGCGTCTGCTTTTGACAACTGGTGAAGTGGGACGGGAACACCACCGGACTTTTGATCCCATATCAATCCGCCATTACATATTAAAACCTACCAAAAGAATACATTTTTCTTAAGTTAAATATATGTAGATTTCAGTCAATGTAAAATATGTCAACAATTACACATTTACATAACAGAGGCACTGTATTTAACCGGAGTAGGTAGGGATGAAACACTTGCTGGTTAGCTGATTTAGTTGTGTGAGACATACTAAAGGCCGGGCAGTAAATGAAACCGTCATCATAATCTCGAACGAGTTTTCCACACACATTAAGGGTTATCAATCAGATAAATCCAAGTTAAGATTTATGGCATACTATCTTAGTAGGAACAAGTTAATATTTGATTTACTTCTACCATGCTATCTCAAGCTATTTGTTCGCAGAAATCGAGCGTCCGTATCAAGTGGGCATGGAAGGTCTTTATAATTAGGTCCAATTTGAACATAAAATATTTTGACAAAAATATGATTTTCCAATTATGGTTTAAACATACCTTAATTGTTTAATATACATGAAAGGAACATTTCTTACCAAACTATTTTTGAAATGTGATATTTTGATGCAAATGCCTGTTAATCACTAAGAGTAGCACAACCAGTATTCCTATATATATATAATATCAATTCTTGGTTCCCGTCTTATAATTGTAATGCTTCAAGTTGGATAGATTTACTAGATTTTTATAACAATTTCGGTATCATACGCCCGCCCGATATTGTAATATTGTGTTAGACTTCCTGTCAATGTTTTTGAACTGAACATTCTTTGTTGTATAGTATCAATAATTTACCCAATTAGAGCATTTCGCATTACTGTTGAAAAGCAAACTTGTTTCTTATTGAAAGCTGACTAACACTAATTGTGTTTGATTATAAATATGATTGCCAATGTGTTTCATTATAAATACATGCATGTCGTATGTAATGTCATATTAACATGTTCCCGTATAACGTTAAGTCACGTCCATGATACTATTAGGGGATGCTTTCTATATTCTCAGACGACTACGATTCCTTCAGTGATAGTTTCGATGAAGACATTGAGATCGGCCTGCAGGCCAAGGCTAGGGCAAATACTTACTACGAGTTCTGTCCCCTGTCTATTGCCCCTGACGGAACTATACCTGTAGACGCCCTCGGAGAGTTCCTGAACAAGGACCTGAGAGTTGAAGGTTACGTCGCCTCGACATTCGCCGTAAATACTTTTGTTTTAGTTTTTTTTGTCAGTTTTAATCCTCATGCATTATCATTTGGAAAATTATTTTTTTACTGCAAATTTAAGCGTTTCCATTTTTCAAACAACATTTACTGGCGTTATTGAAAAAGTCATACATATATCTTAGCATTGTTAACATTTTCAGCGAGGTCAAAACGTAATACTTTAAAGGTTCTGCTTTTTTACGCGATTTTATTTTTACAAATGTTTCCGCGAAAACAACAACCTACACTTTATTTATATATCTGGTAATGTTGATGGAGATACTTTGGCATTGATTGAAATCGCAAATTACATACCTTATTATTTCTTTCTGCCTACTGTATTCATCCTAGTTCAAAAAACACCTCATTTGAAAAAATTACAAAGTAAAACAAGAGACAATATCTTTACATGTAACACAGATAGGGTTCCTAAATCGGGATCGCAATCAGACAGGAAAAACACGTGCTTCTAGTGGATAAGAAGCTATGTTCTGTTGTCGGTAATGAAAATGCTTCATTATATCAATTATACGGTATATACATCCTATGAAGGTATTGATTGATGGTAGACAAACCCTTTATAATGGTATTTGTTTGAGTGCTAATCAAAATTCTTTAAATAGTGACAGCGCAGCAAACAAAATAATTTATATGTAGCAATAATAGGATAATATTGATGAACAAATCCATCAATATTTCCTCATGTTTACATCTGTACGTTTACCGTGTTTTGTTGATGCATGAAGTGGTCTACAACAGCCCTCTGTATTTATTTCTTATTTATTTATTTTCGTTTGGGGGTTTTCTGTTCTTTTCACAATTATACGTTGGTAGGGTTTTCATTACTACTTCACAAGTACACACGAAGTAAGACAGATTACCGCGATAGAACCGTAATATTTATTTGAATTTCTTCAATGTTACAATAACCGTTTGTATAGTTATATCACGTTGTTAACAGAATTTATTGTGTAATTTATCTACCTTGGTATATAACGTTTAAATGGTGATTGTTTGTTTGGGTAAACATCATACACTGTTGACGATTACCGTTTTTTGGCAATACACCTATAATGCTGTATTACCGTGGTACTGTGTTGACGATGTGTTCAGCATACATCTGCTTTGCTATATGACTTTGTTGACGATGTGTTTTGTTCAGTATACATCTGCTTTGCTATATGACTTTGTTGACGTTGATTTACAAACTGTACATACTGATATGCTCCCTATGTTGTTACCCACAGAAGTTCAAAGAAGGTTTACAGGAACCAGTCACGGTTGCCAACTTCCCGGAGAACAAGTCTAAAAACAGATTTAAACAAGTGTTTCCGTGTAAGCACAGCAAGATGCAAATTATATACTTCCTTCTAGTGTATTATGTTTTTTTGGATTGGCGTATGAGGTTAAATCGAAAGAACCTTATACATTATTTTTTTCTATATTACAATTTTTTCGAAACTACCTATTTGCATATACCTGTTTTAAATTGGACACTGATTCAATTCCCTGAAATGACAAATGTGCCTGTACTCTTTGGAAACAACACAATCAAAGGTTCTTTAATGTTTTTAATGCAGGCTGTAGCTGGCAATCGTTTATTTGAATATGTTATAGTTATTCATTCCAAAGAGTTTATAATAAAAAAGGACTTTCAATCATGACAGTAGCCAGATGTGGTGTATGGGATGATTACTTCTTTTTCAACATGTCTTTCCGTTTGTTTTGTTTTCTGGCATAGTATTTCGTTTCATTTAGCATATTATATAGAATGTTTTATTTTTTATTTTTATTTTTAGACGATAAGACACGTGTTTGTCTGCAGAGAGAGGCTGGTGATACCTCTGATTATATCAACGCGAGCTACATTAATGTAAGTGATGTCCGGTAACAGTAACTACCTGATTAGATTATAATAATTCCCTATCTTTGCTTAATAATATTCAATAAGATGAAATAGTTTGATTATTATAAGTTAGGCAGTTACATATTGCTCTACAGTACTGTATACTTGCATACATAATACAATATTCTGCAAACTTGCGAATCAGTGATAATATTTATAGTATACTATTTTCATACTGTATACAAGGGTATTTGTGCAGAAGATTTATAAATAATGTATATAAAAGTATTTTCAGATTTATATGTACAACTTTGTTTTCTTTCTGCTTAATATTTGCACACAGTAATTTAAAGGTAACTACTTAATTTGATTATATTAATTTGTAATTCAGTACTATCTACAGATTATTTTGAACTATGAACATGGTGATACATGTAAAGATATTATTTTAAAATAAGAATAATAAACAAAACCAAAGAGTAACAAACTGTAGTTTGAACTCAGAATCGTTAAAATAATGGTAGAGGATGAATAAAGGAAACATCTACATAGGTACAGTCGTTATAGCATAAGGGGAATAAACACAGGTGTCCCGGAAGTGTTGGTGTCCTTCGCAGTGTAGATAATGCTTCAATCTCAGTAATGACACGTCCTGTAAGTATTACAGGGGTAGTGACAATTAACCGATAAGCTTATCAAAAACATGGAACTTCGTATCGCACATGGAAAAAAAGATAGTTCTAAGTGCAGTCATGATGCTGGCAACTTTATATTCTTGTGTAGCAAAAAAAAAAACAACATCAGAATCCCAAATAATTATGATAATGGTTGATATTCGGACTAGTTTCACCAGTTATATTAACGATAATTAAATCTATTTTTTCATCTGTCTACCCTGATAGGGTTACGAGAAAATCAAGCAGTATGTGGCTGCTCAAGGTAGATATACAGTTACCCTGCATCACTTTGTTATCATTGGCATGTGAAGTTATATCCGTATAATAGAAATTCAAACCTCGGATGTGTGTTTTATGAGCGCTAAGCAATACTTACAATTAATTGATTTAAATATTATATCAAAAAGAATTAAAACCTTTTAAGTTAATTTTTGTTATACAAGACTGTAGACATCTATTTAAAGACATCGTGAAAGACTAATGTGGTTTCTTAGAGTTTTTAATCTTTTTATTCTATGCTATTTTCTTTATTATGCCCCGTTTTATTGTATTTAGCAAATAATTAAATGCTTTTGATTGACAAGATTTTATCAATTAATGTATTGTGATATGTTTTTGTTTCCTTAGACGAACACCTATGTTATTTACCTGTATGACGTATTTACCTGTATGCAATATTTACCTGTATGCCGTATTAACCTTTATATAGTATTTACATGTATACCGTATTTAACTTTATGTCGTATTTACCTTTATATCGTATTTATCTGTATGTCGTATTTACCTGTATGTCGTATTTACCTTTATATCGTATTTACCTGTATGTCGTATTTACCTTTACCTGTTATTATGTTACCTTGTCTTTCTAAGTTGTTTGTCTATCATTTTAGGACCCAATAAAGCTACAACTAATGACTTTTGGGAGATGATATGGCAGCTCGGCAGTACCAAAATTGTGATGCTGACGAAACTGATAGAGGGTGGAAAGGTATTATGATAATGATACACGTAAACGGCCTATAGACGCCGGTAACGTATCAAAAATGATTTCAGCGTAATAAACAAAAGAGGCGGGAAAATAGCCTTGATTTCACAATAAACTATCGATATATTGGTAATTTTGTGATGATAACGCAAGACATAAACGAACGACAGAAAGAGGAAATATAACTAAAGTGGAGGGTTGAAATAACATGATGATAATGTCACACGTAAACAAAAAACTGAAGACAAGTAGGAAGTAGTCCAATATCACATGTAACAGAGAAGGCGAAAGAATAGCTACTTGTACGTTAGCATGGTAAAGTCATACACAGCCGATAGAGGGCGGAGACGTAGCTTAGTTTTCATTTCATTTCATCAGATTTTATTGACTATATATATGTCAATTTGATTGGACATCAGGCTAGGCCTATTTAAGTCCTTTCCAAACTTGTTTTACAAACATTACATATATTCTGTCATAACAATCCAATTAAACAGTGCAGGGAAGATAACTCCAATTTAGCTTGTGAAATGAACATTTTGCAACTTTTGTTTAATCGTTTTCTGTTTATATTTTAGATATAAACAATTAATGTATATCATGTATATTTATTGACAACCCATCCTGCATAAAATCCAAGGGATACAGGCCCAAAAGACCCTGTGTATAAACACATTGGCCATCCTCCCACTGGATATATAGGATAAGTAACCAAGAAATAAACATTTTGTAAAATTTCAGAATATGATATGGATTCATATAGGAAAATGTAGTCATTATTATATATTATTGGAGTTGATTCTCTTAAAATTTATTTAACAAGCACTATAGAATATTCATGTAACTATGAAATTGTTAGAACAGGTTATAAAATAGTACACTCATCAATTCCATCCAGTCCAGCCGAATACCAGAGATGTTGTGAAGATAGATATACACCAGTATCAATACTTATTAGCAGAGTGATTATGACACTATGAATAATAGCATCACTTTCAATGTAAAGTTTTGCTGTGAGTGAGATTACATATCAAGCCTATTAGTTAGACCAATGTAGTCAGATATACTTGGATATGTTAATATCACCGCTGCATGTTAAGTATCCCTTTAATAGAGTTTTTAGATTAAAATGATCATGATAATCTTAGTTAGCATGATAACTTTGTAAACAACCGATAGAGGGCGGAGAAGTAGCTTGATTATCATGACAATGTCATAAACAACCGATAGAGGGCGGCGAGGTAGCTTGATTAGCATGATAATGTCATAAACAACCGATAGAGGGCGGTGAGGTAGCTTGATTAGATGATAATGTCATAAACAACCGATAGAGGGCGGTGAGGTAGCTTGGTTAGCGTGATAACGTCATAAACATCCGATAGAGGGCGGAGAAGTAGCTTGGTTAGCATGATAACGTCACAAACGACCGATAGAGGGAGGAGAAGTAGCTTGGTAACCATGATAACGTCATAAACAGCCGATAGAGGGCGGAGAAGTAGCTTGGTTAGCATGATAACGTCATTAACAGCCGATAGAGGGCGGATAAGTAGCTTGGTTAGCATGATAGCGTCGTAAACAACCGATAGAGGGCGGAGAGGTAGCTTGGTTAGCAAGATAACGTCACAAATGACCGAAAGAGGGCGCTGAGGTAGCTTTGATAATGCGAAACGAGTAGCACAGGATGATAACTAATCTTGCTAGCGTTAAACAATTTGCTGAAGTCGTGAGTATAACTATGAAAGATGAATACCACACAGATTCCTTCTAACAATTAACCAGGGCGATATTACATATTGGTTGAACGGCTTTTAATGTTCATTTTAAACTGATTCTTTCGAGTTTGATTTGCTTGGAGTCCCAGGAGGACGAAACAGCTGTATGATACAGTGTAACTGTTTTGGCTTGCTGTAGCTCTTACCAACTTTCAAAGGTGCAATCATACGTTCATCTTTTAAATGTGTTTGTTTTGTAATGTTTCAGCCATTACACGATGTATACCCTTTAAAAAAGTTTCCATCAATTGTAAGATATGATATTAGTGGAGGTATAAGTAAATACGAATTATGGTATCCGTCTCACTGGTTCTTTTTCAGGTAAAATGCCAGCAATATTGGCCCAATACCGGAAGCGAACAATTCGGCTCGTTGACGGTCACCCTGGACAGAGAAGAAGATCTTTTAACATACATAATTAGACACATTAAAATCAAAAACGTAAGTACAACATACACAAATAACCTGTTGTTTTAAATTATTGAAATATTTAACTTATTCCATTAGATAAAATGTAATGTGGTGGAAGTATTTTCATAAAAATAATGTTGGTGCTAATAGGGTAACACGACAAGATGCGTCACCCAGTTTCACTACACGGACTGGCCTGATCAGAAAGTGCCGTCTAGTGCTTCCTCTCTGGTCCAATTCTTCCTTAAGGTGGAGCCACTAGGTCAGGTATTGGAGGCCCCTATAGTGGTACATTGCAGGTAAGAATAAATATTTAAGAATTATCTGTTTTTATTTTTTCATAAAATATATGTAGTGTTTACTACAGTTAGATACAAAAAAGGAAAACATCCCATACAAATAATTTAAATTACTATGTACCTTTACCATGAAGGGTAAAATAACAATGTAACTTTCTCAAGGATGATTAATTAGTATGTATATCATGGATGAAGATAAACATTACTTACCATGTGTTTATTAGTACTCAAACATATCTAACTATGTGTTTATGAGTACGCAAATATAACTAACAACGTGTTTATGAGTACGCAAATATAACTAACTTTGTGTTTATTAGTACGCAAATATAACTAACCACGTGTTTATTAGTACGCAATTATAACAACCCATGTGTTTATTAGTACGCAAATATAACTATGTGCTTATTAGTACTCAAACATAACTATGTGTTTATTAGAACGCAAACATAACTAACTATGTTTTTATTAGTACGTAAATATAACTTACCACGTGTTTATTAGTACGCAAATATAACTTACCACGTGTTTATTAGTACGCAAATATGACAAACCATGTGTTTATTAGTACTCAAATATAACTAACCACGTGTTTATTAGTACTCAAACATAACTAACTATGTGCCGTTATTACGGATGAGTGTGTGTACCACTTATTGTCCTCGTAGTGCCGGTATAGGACGGACGGGAACGTACATCGCCCTGGCTTGTTTGGTACAGGAAGCATCCGCTACTGGGTATGTCAGCGTCACGCGCTGCGTGGAGACCCTGCGCAGACAACGACTCAACATGGTCCAGACAGCGGTGTGTACACAATGGATACGACACGTCATTTACATAATGTCTTTATCAGCTGTATTATGAACATGGAAATATATTCTATATTTGTTTAGATACACTCCATTGATTGTTGTTATAATGTTACTGTATAGGCACGTGAACGTCTATACACTCACTAGTATTAAAATGTCATTAATGCATAGAATCGTTTTTAATTGGCATTCATAGGCAATTTGTATGCTAATTGTACATGTACAAAGTCAAATTCAGTGAAGAAGAACACAGATAAAAATGTCTGATATAAGATGAAATAAGCGTCTCTGAATCGTGAAATTAATGACACATACGTTTGATTTAAACATCACTGAACTGTGAAATAAACATCGACGATCTGTGATATTAACATCACTGAACTGTGAAATAAACATCGACGATCTGTGATATAAACGTTGCTGAACTGTGATCAAAACACTATTGATACAAGGAAGTAATTGCAATAATAAAACTCAAACACTTTTTTGGATCTTTTTCCATCCGTACACACATATGAACCATGGTAACGGTCTTTTTATGTTTTTCAGAAACAATTCGTGTTTATACACGAGGCCCTGCTGGAACATCTTCACGGATCTACCGCTATCCCCGTCAACGTGTTCAGGGAGACCTTCAGACAATTACATGTAGAATTTGATGTGAGTTCTCGTCGGTAAGGTGCTTACTAATGTACTGTGGCATGAACTGATTGCCATGAAGTAATATATTTACTGTGTTTTCTATTGTATCTGATGATATTTAATGCGTGGTAGTGTGGCTTATTTTTAATAAACAAAAATACAATAAGTAATACATTTCAATATACATGACATTAATTTATATAGTTAAGGGTGATAACAAGTATAAAGTCTGTTTTATTTTATTATATACATTTACATTGATATTGGCAATTATAACGTAATGACTCTCTAGATCTGTGTTCTAGAATTTACAGAAATTATCTCCTAAACTGCCTGAAAACGCTTTCGTTGCTGGAAAGAAAGAGGAAAACAAAAACAAAAACAGATACAGTAATCTTCTACCAGGTAATACGACTCGACGTTAGTATACTTGTATTGATAAAAAGATTAAATACATTTCTTTTATATTGATTATCGTCAAACGATCAAAGCAGGGTTTTGATCATAACAAAATCACTTATTGTCTAAATATATGATACGCAGGTTCATAGGTTTTCTTTCAGCTTTTTTTAAACGGCATTGATCTTTATGTATTGATAAAACATGTTTGTTTCATTGTTGTGAGTATAAGAAAACATTATAGCTTAACCACTTGGTGTGAAACATTTGTTTGGTATATCCTTAATATTTGATCGTTATTGGGCTTTGGTAAGCAAAGCAATAAGGGCGACTGTTTATATGACTACGGACATAAAGGCTAGTCTTTGCTTGTTGAATATATCAGATACCTATACGTTGATTTTCATAGAAAAGTAAAGATAGACAGTTAATTGTTATTCGTTATTCGGGAGAACGAATAACTTTCAAACTTTACTTTCTGAGGGGATAAAATTATTCGTTATTCAAAATTAAACAGAAGAAACTAAAGTGGATGCCGGTACCTTTTGACAGGTTGCCAATAAGATCATTGAAATCGAGTGTAATAAAAGAAAATTGACAAAGGCATTCACCCTGAGCCAGTATAATGAACGTAATATTTGAATGGGATCTGATTTTTGACAATTATCGAATGAAGGGTCCCAGGGGGTCTGGAACCCGTACTGATGCCCAACTTTTGAAAGATTCCAGAGACAGGGAGTGCAACAGAGAAATTGTTTCTACCGAGTTTAAATAAGACTGAAAAAGGCGGTCATCCTGGGCTAGGATATTGAATTTGTGACACTTATAAAGTATAGGGTCCCAATTGCAAGGGGCGTATAATTCGTGCAAATGCCGAACGTTTGCAATCTGAAATTGATTATGTAATCAATATCTTTAAAGTACTGTATGTATTCATTCGAGTTGTTAGTGAGATTTAGATATGTAAATTTATATCAGTTATCTTTTAAGCATAGTGTATGTTATATCTACTTCAATTTATGGCATTTCTTTATCATTCAAATAAGTATCAATTCCATTTAAAGAAACAATTATGGGCTCGTGCATTCTTACACGATGTGTAATATACACACGATGTGAGAATGATGTACTGTGTGCGTGCCATGTACGAACGTACATAACGTGCGTGCTGCACGATGGACGAACGGTGTGTGAAAGCTATCGTGGTTGAAGTAAATATAAGACTGTCTCAGGAACAATAAAAAAGATTTCGTCTGTAAGCCTTTATATACCCGATATTATAGTATGTTACCATGGTTAAGCTTGATCTTAAGATTGGCCAATCATGATATATACATGTATACTTAATTTTAAGATGGTGTGTTTGTAGGTTTTTTAAGTTTCTCTGAAGCAAACTAAATCGCCACCTTACGTAGAGAGGCTATTGTCCGACACAAACGCAGATAACAAATATGTTACGGTACAGTTGTCTACATAACGGTCTGTGTCAGGCACAGGCCAGGCACAACTTGTAGTTGTTGTCTTACCCAATAACACGCGATGAAACCAATATCAACTATGCATTTTGACACAGGAATTCGACATTCCCATGAAATTAACTCTCCAAAAATAAATGATCGTTTATTTTGCAATAATATGATAACTGAGATGATAATTTGGAACACGGTTCAATAAAACCGCAAGAAAATACCAGAGACGTGTATAAGTACCCCCAGAGGTCCATGCACTAACAATATCATATACAAATCTCTGATTGATGTATCTTTTCTAAAATATTGAAATTTACAAAAAACACGTAGAAATTCCTTTTTTCATTGTCGGTAGTAAGATGGGTTCGCGGACAAGACACACTAAAGGAAGGCTGTACTAGTTAGTTTAATGAAGAATATCAAAATACTGAAACAACTCTTTGGAAACCATTATCATTAAATCAGATCGTTCAAGATATTCAGAAAACGTTTTCAACTCAATTCAAATTTAAATTACGCAAGGTTTCAGGCGTGCACTTAAGCCAGTCTAACACGTAGTCTGTTCTTCGCGGAAATTATGAAGTTCCTTGTAAGTATGCGTCTAAATGGATATCAATATCAACAAACAATTGATATAACTCCCACCCCATGTCATCACCCACTTATATGTGTCTATAAGACTAAGCGACTGTAGTAACCTGCATAGTACAATATCACAAACCTATATTAGACTTGCTCAAGTTTAAGACTTTCGAAAGTTTGGCTCCGGCGTGGGTTCTAGACCTATTGTGACCCTATACTCGATAATTGTCAAAAATTAAATTTCGTTCCAATTCTATGTTCATGGTCCTGGCTTAGGGTGAATGCCTATTTCAATCTTAATGAAACTCGGTGAAAATTATTTCTGTAGCACCTCCTGTACGTACAACCTTTCAAAAGTTGGGTACCGGCATGGGTTCAAGACTTCCTGGGACCATATACTCGGTTCTTGTCAAAACTGAAATTTCGTTCATATTCTATGTTTATGGTCCTGGCTCAGGGTGAATGCCTATTTCAATCTTAATCAAACTCGGTGTAAATTGTCTATGTGGCATTCCCTATACGTGCAACCTTTGAAACATGGAGCACAAGCACCCGCTTAAGTTTGTTTCCCTGTTTAATTTTGAATAAAGTATATCTTTCTAGCTTTACTTTCTTCTCCAGAAAGTAGAATAAGAAAGTTACTACTCTACCTTGCCAATTTCCATTGCATTGTTTGCAACCCGTCCTGAAATAGACATGATACGGATAGCCCATGTCTGCTTCAATAATTTACGTTTGTTGATGAAATTAAATTTAACAACTGTATCAAGAAACTGTCACAGATGAGTAATTTACCTTATTCTGTCTGCAATTGTAGTTGACAAGTATCGGCCGTTACTATCGACCCCCATAGACGGACATAACGACTACATCAACGCTGTGTTCCTGTCGGTATGTTGATTTATCGAAATTATTGGATTTAGTTTTTCAGTTTCTAAACAGTAAGACTCTTTGCTGGTCACTACCTCATTAATGTTTTTTTTTTTTTTTGTTGTCGCTTTTATAGTTCAGTTTCGCTTTCACCAACTTGACCATACATATTTATAAACTTCAATCATTCTTGTGTTTTATCAGTACAATCTGGTACATCCTACAACATTAATTATTGTTTTTGATTCGGTAGTCAAACGCTTACTACGAATGTCATCCTTTCATTGACACATATCGACGACCAACAGTAAACTGATCTCTTTAGTGTAATGTTAGGTTTCCCCATGTAATATACGGTCAACAGTAAACTGATATCATTAGTGTAATGTTATGTTTCCCCGTGTAATATACGGTCAACAGTAAACTGGTCTCTTTAGTGTAAAGTTATGTTTCCCCGTGTAATATACGATCAACAGTAAACTGATATCATTAGTGTAATGTTATGTTTCCCCGTGTAATATACGGTCAACAGTAAACTGGTCTCTTTAGTGTAAAGTTATGTTTCCCCGTGTAATATACGATCAACAGTAAACTGATATCATTAGTGTAATGTTATGTTTCCCCGTGTAATATACGGTCAACAGTAAACTGAT